TGATTGTTTCAACAAGTACCATACGCCGCACACTAAACAAAGTGGGGCTTTATGGGCGGAGGCCAAGGAAGACTCCATTGCTGAAGAAAAGACATAAAAAAGAATGTTTGATCTTCGCAAAAGAGAACCTGGACAAACCTCAATCCTTCTGGGACAACGTTTTATAAACAGATGAAACAAAAGTGGAGCTTTTCGGTAAATCACACAAACAATATGTTTACAGACGGCGCAATGAAGCCTTTAACAAAAAGAACACCATACCAACAGTCAAGCATGGTGGAGGATCCATAATGCTGTGGGGCTGCTTTGCAGCATCTGGTACTGGAGGCCTTGACCGTATCACAGGCATCATGAAATCAGAAGATTATCAAGCAATTCTAGAGCGAAATGTCTTGCCCAGTGTAAGGAAACTTGGTTTGCGGCGAAGATCCTGGGTCCTCCAGCAAGACAACGACCCAAAGCACACCTCCAAAAGCACACAGGTTGAAAGGGAAAAAATTGACTGTTTTAAAATGGCCAGCAATGAGTCCTGATCTCAATCCAATTGAAAATCTTTGGGTGGAGCTGAAATCTGAAATCTGCCATTGGAGAAAGGAACCCTGCAAATGTACAAGAGCTTGAGCATATTGCAAAAGAAGTGTGAGAGAAAATGCCACCCGAGAAGCTCAAGAAGCTTATAGATGAATATAAGAAACGTTTGGAGGCCGTCATTGCTGCCAAAGGCAGTTCAACCAAATATTAAAGAGGGGGGTCAATATTAGAGCACATGCTGGTTTTCTGTTTTGTCCTTTGGAATTTAAATATTTATGTTGAAATGGTAAATGTCTTTGTTAGATTACTTTGGACCTCAAATTGAAAGATCCTCCTGATATAAGTTTTGAACATTTCCATTTATTTTTGAAGATATTCACTCAGCTATGCAAATCATGAAGGGGTGCCAATAATGGTGAGCAGGACCATAATTGAATTGGTGCCCACCAGAAGCATTCAGTAAACAATAGAAATCTAATCACCTACACCAGGGCCATCTAATTAAAGGGAAATGTGTCCTGCTGGAATAGCATTAAGTGAATTTCAACGCCTATAAAATGTTGAACAAACGACTTCATGTCCTCAGTCTCGTTTTCCAGAGCTCCAACCAGGAATTCAACTGCATATTTTAAAAAGCTCATTTTCTATTGAAGCTGCTATTTTGGGACCGTGAGGGAAAAAAAAACAACAAAACAATAAAGTCGTGGTTTAGGAGAATGCAGGAGAATCAATGTGGAGAAATATGAATCTCTGCATGATTTGCTGCATGATGTGAATTGGAGAAACCATGATTAACCAGCGGCCATGTTCTTTTCTCTTTCCTTTTTATTTTTGCAGTGGGATGCCATTAACGAGATGGACGAGTATTTTACCCCCATTCACACGTACCAGGTGTGTTCTGCACAGCGCTCACAGCTTGTGTTTGGGTCCGATACATTTCTTAACAACTTCAACATCATCACCTTTCTCAAACAATGGCCCAAGTAATTTTTTTGCCAAAAATGATGTATTTGCAAAAAATTTTTTTTTTTTTTCCAAAAAAACGACTTAGGCCATTATTTTAGGAAGGTGACGATAAGTTGCTGTAATGAGAGGACAACTTATTTCAGTACCAAAGAGTCAAGAGCAGCATCTGCAGTAGCTATGATGTCAACTGCTCACAAACTTTTAACAAAATTTCACTTCAAACATCCTGAACTATCGTTACGTACCTTTTTGTTTTTTTCTTTAGGTTATCACACGTAATGTTGCCTTTGGTAGTGATCTTACAATGGCGTTGTCCTCTGCATTAGGTGTGTAACGTGATGAGCCCCAGTCAGAACAACTGGCTGAGGTCCAGCTGGATCCCTCGAGAAGGAGCCAGGAGGATCTACATCGAGGTCAAGTTCACCCTGAGAGACTGTAACAGCATGCCTGGAGTTCTGGGAACCTGCAAGGTAATGCACTCTGTCAACCAATCCAGCAGCGAGAAAATCAAACTTAACTCTTACTAGGATCTGATGATGATTTTAAAATTGGACTATTTTGGAAGGGCTTGAGGTGCGACATCTGGCTCATTGACTGCTGGAGTAGCCTTTAGCTCCCTTGTCACTTCTAACAGGCTAATCTGAGTAAATAAAGCAGAAAAAATGTAGGAAGAAAGTTACAAAACTGGAGTATGTAACTTTAATAAACAATATGATTTTGCATATTTGTCCATACTGTCACCATGTTGCGACGGTACAGTATGAGCTCCTCCACCTCCGCCCTGTGGTCCTGCTGCCATCTGCAGAAATTTACCGCTCCTGGTCAGAAACAACATATCAGAGACAGGAGGAGGATCTTAGCGCTGTCAATCAGTTTCAGGTACACGCTTCTCAGCCTCTACCCCTTTGCTCTCTGCTGCACTACAGCTAGTTCTCGACACCAGAGTCTGCCATGAATGCTAAGGCTAGTAGTTAGCATGGCCAATGACAGCAGAGAAACGGTTTTCTTTTAACGGTAATTTGTTTCTCCACCGTTAGCACTTTGAGCAGCGTGCACACAGGCATGATTACCTGAACTAAGACCCTCCTCCTGGCTCTGATTGGTTGTTTAACTGAGAGCGGTGTATTTCTGCAGATGGCTGCAGGAGCACTGGGACGAGGCAAAGGAGCTCAATTTTCTTTTCACAGATTATGTGTCTCTTGCTGTCATGACATAGTGACAGTTTGAATAAATATCTAAAAAGCATGTGAATGAATACAAACGGCAGCATTTAAATACTGCAGCTGCAAATAGTCCAAATTAATTCTATTGAGCGGACTACAAGAAGGTCCTGGGTTCGATTCCCGGCCCGGGATCTTTCTGCATGGAGTTTGCATGTTCTCCCTGTCATGGTGGGTTCTCTCTGGGTACCCCGGCTTCCTCCCACAGTCCAAAAACAGGACTGTCAGGTTTATGCTGAATTAGACCAGAGGATGCTTCCTTATACTTATCTACCAAACCAGAACAGGGATTAGATCTTGGAACCCAGAAAAACTACCTTAGCAACTACTTTTTAGACTCCTATTCTTCCAAACCAGAAAAGGAATTAGACCAGAAAATATATTACTTAACTCATCTACCAACCCTGAATAGGAGCATCTAGTTTATTTACTTTGGCTCAACATTATTAGATTTTTCTTCTTTTGCTCTTTCCTTTGGTTTGTTATTTTGTTTGTATTTCCTTTTAATCCATGTGAAGCACTTTGTTTTGCCTTGTTGCTGAAAATGTGCTATATAAATAAAATTACCTTACCGTACCTACCTTATGCTGCGATTTTCACCAGTCTTTGGCTCTTCAATCATGTCCAGTCTGAATCCGGAGTTATTGAGTTAGCAATAACTCAACTCAGACTGTGCTTCTTTTATTTGTTTGTCTTGTCCCAGAGTTGCAAGTTGAGACAAGTGGGACATTTAGAAGACAAACTAAAAAAAAACAAACAAAAAAACGCAATTAAGCAATGTTGCTTAAGTCAACGTCAGCTGAGGCAGCTGAATGTCATTTAGAGCTAATCACCGTCGGCATTAATTAATTTACACATGATTATTTTCTAAACTGTGTAAACAAAAATCCGAGTGGAGACACGGCCTCTCTGCTGCGAATGTATGTTTTTCATCAGCTGTGGATATTTATACAGATATATGTTTATTCACTGGCAGCTTGATGGTTAGCGCTGTGGCTAATAGTTGCTGGTTTATTCCTGACTCAGAGTTTCTCTCTTTAGGGTTTGCATGTTCTCCCCACAGTCCAAAACTAAGCAGGTTGGCTGAATTGTAGATGAAACGCCTCTTTCCCAAACCAAAATATTTATCAATGGCAATTTTTTTATTTCCTTGTTATTTTTTATTGTTTTTGGATGTTTAAAACGTCGTCCATTTCCGGTGTTGTATACAGAATTATTAGTGTTTCTGAGGGTGTACTTACATTATGCTATAACTGCTATATTACTTAAAAATGGTTTCAAAAGCAACAATACTGTCAATATTGTTTATCACAATCATTTCCGGGACAATTAATCACCCAGTAAAATTTGTTACATTTATAGGCCTAATATTATATGCAGAAGCTTTGAGGTTTTATGAAGTTGCGGCACAAATTAGTACATAACGTTGAAGTAAAAGAAAAGGATGCACGGTTTTCAACAACATGGACAAATAAAAATCAGAAAAGTTTGGTGTGAATTTGTGTTGAACCTCCTGAGTAAATACTTTGTGTAGTGTGTTCTTTATATTAAGTATTTTGGGCTTTATCTCTACTGGGTTTGCACATCTACAGTCTTTGCTCATTCTCACTCGGTCAAACTGGATGGAAGTTGACCTTTTCAAGTTTCTTTTGCAGCCTCTAATATTTAATTATTCACACATGAACCAGACTTTACCAGGAGTTGGTGAATACTAAGTTCAACGTATGAAAAGTATTCTGAAGGTGTCAGGTGTCTTCTGAAGGCAATTAGATTTTGTTTAAGGGGTGTCAGAACAAACGGGGTTTGTTACAAATGCACAATACAATGTTCTGATGTTTAGTTCTAAAAACATGAAAATCAATTGTCCTTTTCCTACTTAATAAATATGTGTGTGTTTTCATTCTAATCCGTTTGCATTTAACATCACAAAATCCAGAAAAGTAAAACCAGTTTGAATATTTTCACACAGTTCCACAGAATGCTTAGGAAGAACTATTTGGCAATGTCTATCACAGTTATGACCAACAAAGGCTTTTAGGTTTTCCTAATAAACATTTGACGATTCTGACTGTAAAATAAAATTACTTTTTATAATTAACATTTAAGGTACACGGATTAAAAGACGATTCTACTGGATTATGGGAAACTCAGTACAACGTTCTCCTATGAAACATGATGTATGCTCCTATGATGTGACGTAATCATTCTTTACCTATTAACTCATCACGGGGTTCACTGACAGCAGCACACACTCAGAGCTTGTTGGTTCTGTGTCTGTTGTCCAGGAAACCTTCAACCTGTTCTACTATGAGTCGGACAGAGCCGTGGGCTCGGCCATTCGGGAGAACCAGTTTATTAAGATCGACACTATTGCTGCAGACGAGAGCTTCACAGGCGTGGACCTGGGGGTCCGCAGACTGAAGCTCAACACTGAGGTATGAACTATGTGCATTTACACGACTGCTGCTCACACTTTGCAGCATTACTTCATCTCATGTAGCACTATGAAGATGCTTTGTGTTTATCAAGATTCACTCACAGTGCTTGAAGTGAAGTGAAATGGAGGGCTTGCTGTTCTTTTGACTGATTTGGCTGATCTGACCACTTGGGGGCACTCTTAGATCCATAAATATGATTAAAAACACAAAGTCTGTGGCGCTGTGGTGGAGCAGGGGTTAAGCACAACCCACATAAGGAGGCCTTAGTCCTCAACACGGCTGTTGCCTGGTGACCTTTGCCGCATGTCTTCCCTCTCTCTCATTTCCCTTCTTTCCTGTCATAGCACTTTCAAATAAAGACCACTAGAACCAAAAACACCTTTAAAACAAAACAACAAAGTCTAAATGATGAGGTGACTGCACCCTTCATCCCACTACACATGTACTGTTAAAACAATTGAAACTGCAGCAAAGGGGGTGCTGTGGTGGCGCAGACACGACCCACGTACTGAGGCCTTAGTCCTTGTGCCAGTTGTCACAGGCTTGATTCCTGTTGGCAGGAAATGTCGGCCTGGCGACATTTCCTGCATGTCAAGCTACTTTCAAATAAAGGCCACTAGAGCCAACAAAACCTTTATATAAACAAAAGCATTCATGTCCCCAAGAAACTTGAGCTTACATTAGTCCTCAGAGGTGGACTGAACTCAGACTCAAAGCGGACGTCATGACGACGTATTAGGGCCGTTGTAGATGGGAAAAAAGGGAGTAAATTTCTGTCATAAACCTCAGAAATTTTGAGATTAAGCTTAGAAATTTTAAAGAAAACATGGAAATTTGAGTATCTAAAGTCAACATTTTTCACTTTTGAAAATTTTGCCTTTGCCGGACTAAGTTTCAAAAGTGGAAGATTTGGGGAACATTTGGAAATTGCTTTATTTTTTCTAGAACATTTCTGAGATAAATCTCAAAAATGTTTTTTGTGGAAATTTACTCCCTTTTTCCCATCTGCAAAGAAACAAGGAAATGTCCAAAGTTTCCACTTTTGAAACTGGATGTGTTCACCACACACACAAAGGAAAACTTTTACGATGCTTTCTGTTTGATGCACCGACTCGCAGAGGAAACTGCTCAGCAGGAAGCAGTGTTCACATTGACACCAGAAATGTAGGGAATCAGTGTACTTGATTGTTTGTTTTTTTTCATCTTGCCCAAAATAAACTTTGTAATATTGTTGTTAGTTTTAGTTGTTCTACAATGAAAGAAAATCCTGAAGAGCCTCTTCTTGTCTTATAGCTTCAAATTTAATACAACAGACACACTAACAAATTGTTGGAGAGAAGATTTGTAGTTTATAATCTTCAGACTCAAGTTGAGATAAGTTAGTCAAACTATTCCAATGATCTGTCTTTTAATATATGGCTACCATCTTTCCTTTTCTTCCTCCACCAATTTAACATGAGAAATGTGAAGATTTTCCGTTGTATGTCCCAATATTTTTTTTCTTAATGCTCGTTTTATTAAAATAAGAATCCCAATAGATCATCTCAAGCCTGATGTACTGGGCGGTTTCTGAGTTCCCAGTGTTGACTGAGCAGTTAAAAACACTTCAGACCCACTGTGGGCAATATGTTTCTTCATCCATCACAAACACACACACACACACACACACACACTCTCTCTGTAAATGGTTTATTTTTATTCAGTCCCACATACAACAGTGTGGCTGTGAGAATTTCTCACTTAAAAGTGGATTAATACACCCACAAAAATAGTTCCCAAGAAATGTCCCATTTACTCCTGTTAAGGTTACATTACTGGCATGTATAAGTGTCGCCTAATGCTTCTGTGGTGGAGCACTTAAAGTCTGATTTGTTGACAGCGAAAAATAAAATCACCAACCTTATCCTGCAAAGCTGATTTTCTGCACACACTCAGACATGAGAAAAGTAATGCCTTTTGAAATGGGTTGATTTTGGTGCACATAATGTAAAGCCACACCATCTTCTGAAGTGTTGTTATGCTTTTTAAAAGTGTCAAAGCATACACCATACTTACAGCGAGTAAACCAATTGGATTTTTTATTTATTGAGCAGAATCTTGGAAGCCCTCTGCAGCAGCATCCGTGTGCTTTAGGCTCACAGATCTAAAAAAAAAAAAAAAGAAAAAAAAGTGAAACGACTGGATGTAAAGAAAGGGCAGATACTCACATTTGGTCAGAAATTTCAATTTTTCCTCTGAAGACTTTATGTGATGGAACAGCACATCATAGTTTATCAGTGTGTAGTAGAAAAGGAAAATGATAAACAGTTTTTAAAACTAGTAGAATGAAAGATTAGTTTTTCAGAACACTTGCCATAATCTCTGAAACCTCTAAATAAAATCCAAACACTAATTTTGTTCTTGGTGTGACTGAAGTTGTTAATCTGGCAAGGTGCTTAAATGGTAAATGGCCTGGACTTGAAAAATGCTTTGTGAAGTCTGGTGGACCCCGTAGCACTTCACACTACATTTAGTCAGTCACACACACATTCACACACTGATGGTGGTAAACTACTAGATAGTAGCCACAGCTGCCCTTGTGCAGATGATGAAGCTGCCATGAACTGGCGCCACCTGTTGGGCCCTCTGACCATCACCAGCAGGCAAAGCGGGTGAAGTGCAAAGACAGACGGGGTTTGAACCAGCAGCCCACTCCTGTCAGTCACCACCACTGGCAATTTTTTGACCTTTTGTTCCTCGATTTTTTTAAGTTTTTTTAGATGTTTTGCTGCTTTTTAATCTCATCCCTCTTCATGTTGGCAGACAGGTGCTACAGTTGCTTCTGATTTCATGATTAAAACCACAAGCAGTCGTGGTTAAACGGAGCTGAGCGTTCCAAAACATGTTTGTTAATCTGCTAATTTAAGATTTATTAAGTAGGCTGATAGCTTTTTTCCCCACAGGCCCAGCGTGGTTTGGATAGATTTTTATTTCCGTAATCATTGAAAATATTGTGTTGAAACTGAACGTTGCACTTATTCAGGTGATCCTGGTTTGATGTTAGAATTTGCTTGATAATCCGAAAAGTAAAAACAGAAGAAACATGTAAGGTTGTGAATACTTTTCGTACGTTGAACTTAGTATTCACCAACTCCTCTCTGGACACAGGTGAGAGGGGTGGGCCCTCTGAGCAGACGGGGCTTCTACCTGGCCTTCCAGGACATCGGTGCCTGCATCGCCCTCACCTCTGTCCGGGTCTACTACAAGCGCTGCGTGGGCGTCAACCGCAACTTGGCAGTTTTCACGGACGTAGTGACGGGGGCCGACTCATCCTCACTGGTGGAGGTCAGGGGTCAGTGCGTTGACCACGCTGAGGAGAGAGATACCCCTAAGATGTACTGCAGCGCAGAGGGCGAGTGGCTGGTCCCCATCGGACGGTGTGTGTGCTCAGCTGGCTTTGAAGAGCACAGAGACTCCTGTGTTGGTAAGTCAGATCAAATCCATTCCTGCTCTCTTTGTGGATTTGCTCAAGTTGGATCAATTCTTTACGGAAAACTGATCCAGACTGTAGATTCTGTTGCATTTGTTGTGTCAAGCAGAGAAGAGAGAGGACCGGAGGAACACGGCTAATCCACAGGCCTTGTACGTTTGTCAGTGATTCATTAGTCATGAACTGAGCAGATGGGAAGGTTCAACTGAGGCTGATCTCATACTGGACTATTTCCAAAAGTAGTTCACCTCCCACTTGACCCACCTGCTTATTGTGGCTAATGTGAAACAAAGGCTTCCCATTGTGATCTCAATCGTTAAGCAGGTTTAGTCTCCACAGCGGCTCATTACGGAGGGATTTTTCCACTCTGCAATCTCTGAAAAAGTGGGCTGAAAATTGTCCACTTCCATCTACCCACTCACTGTCTTTTGTTTATCTGGGATCAGGTCGTGGGGTCAAGGTCCAGAAGGAAAACCCAGACATCACTCTCCCTGGTTATGTACTCTCTCCAACATAATCTGACAATGTCTCCTACCAAAAGGTGAATGCCTTGCGTAGGAAGCATCCTGGTAGATGCTTGTACCTTTTCAACTGACAGCAGCTCTATTCACCTGGAGGCCAAAAAACATTTACTTAGTTATTTATTTTTATCTAAATTCTCTTTACACAAAAAAGAGGTGGTGATTTTATTGCAAAAATCACTTTTGGGGAAAAAAAAAAAAAAGACTTGGACCATGAAGTTAGGACGGTGAGGCACTGCTAGAGAACAAGACGGTAAGATGTTTGATCTGACCCACAACCTTTTTATGATCAAATCACCGATATTTGATTGCATCTTACTCACTTATGTAGTATATGTCTATCGATCTTCTTACCTTATGAAATGTGTTCGCTCCAAATCCATGAATACACAGAGCACTGCTGGTCCTTATGGCTGACAGCTGCTGTTTGTCGCCTTTGCTTATCGAAAGGTTCACCATAAAATGATGAGTTTGGTTTGCATCCTCGTCTGTTTGTGCCGCTGAACTCATTTTTTAGTGAATTCATTTAAATAAAAGCGAAATTAGGCAACCAGCTGTCTGTTTTTGACAATCTTTTCATGAGTCGGCGCACATGAGGTTTTTTTATGTCTGTCATGGTGGAGCGGGTCATTTGCATGTGCAAAGAGTCAATTGGAGTCTAAAAAACATTTCCTTTAAAAATTAATTCCAATCAATGGTTTTCAAAGCAGGTGCATAATGTCACCTTAGCGGGTCACAGCTTACAACTGTTCGGTAGAGATGTGGGTCTTACAAAAAGCTCGGCACGATTTCCAAACCTAACAAAGCATCAAATGGTGAAGGGGCAAAATGACCGGCACCTACTTAAAGCACACAGTTTGCTTTGGCAGAAACTGTTATCAGAGGTGCTACACAGCCATTGTCCTGCTCATTTAAATAAAACTCCTACATGTATGCACAGCTGAACACCTAAACGGCCCAGAGCGAGGCAAAGTTCATGACAAGGTCAAGAAAGCATTTATCTGCCTGAGCTTAGCTTCAGCCCAACCTCTTAACTCCAGAAAAAAATCAAAAAAACTAGTTTGAACCGGCTGAACTTCTCAAGCATTCTGTTTTCTCAGTGAAAATAGAATCATGTAAGCATCAGTTACTCCATTCACCTGTCTGAAGACTTCCTCTGTGCTCTGAGCATGAGCAGCAGTGTCTGCAGAGTGCAAAAAGCCTTTGAAGCAACACATGAATTTAAAAAAGGTTTTAACCTTTCCTACGAATCAAAAAGTCTGTTTGAAGCTGTGAACCGGGATGATGTAGAAAAAAAATGATTACTTAGGTAAAGAGGTTCAAGGTCCGGTCAACAGCTTTTCTGAAGCCTACAGTAACATCTCTCTGAAGTCAGTAAATACTGAGAACGGTTTAGCTTCTGATGCTTTTTCATCCTGCTTTAAAAAGGACATTTACTCAAAATGTATTTTTTTTGTTATCCTCTCTTTTTGAATTTGTCCTTTTTTGACTTTTTTTTCTTTCTGTGATTGTCATTATCCAGCCTCATTTAGAGTCTTAAATATCTTTCAGAATTGTCATTGGTTACAGTAATAAAAAACTATTAATCACAGAGCGATGGATAATTAAAACCTAAAAGCAGTTTGTCAGCTAAACGAGCCGAACAAGACATGGAGCACAGCAGTGTCGGCATCTCCTTCCGCTTTCCCTCCCGCTCCCTCCGCTCCGTCTCCTGCAGCCTCATAAATCTCTGCTGCGCGTCGCCCGCCTCGGCCCAGAGGAAAACGCCCTCTCTCTATAACAAGAGATAGCAATTCACATCAAAGCAGTTTTGAAAGCATCAAAGTGTATTTAAAAAGATAACAGTCTCCATATGCAGTTATAATGAAACACAATAAATAACCACCTGTTCCAAAGCAGGTCTTAAAGTTAGATAATTACAACATCAGGAGTGAAATAAAAGACAACATGCTGTCATTTGTCAAAAACTAAGGCAAAAACACAAGAGTCCAAGCAAAATCGTTTCCATGAATTAGAAGGATGAGTGTTGGTGAGGTGCTGCATGATTAACTGATCATTAACAAATGTGACCACTGCTACAGAAACACAGGTATGAGAGGTAATACGGATCCCTCTGTACTCAGTTTTGGTGGTAAGAAGAAAATTCACAACAGAGCAGAATCTTAAGGCTAGAGAAGAAATTCCAGGCATTCATATTTTTCCAAAAATGATTCGTAACAAGATTGTAAATGGAGATTCCAAATGCAAAGAGAAGTAACTGGAGCAGGAGACAAAACAAACATAGTAAAGTAAAGGTAATTTTATTTATATGGCACATTTTCAGCAACAAGGCAATACAAAGTGCTTTGCAGGAATTAAAAGCTAATTATTCAGACAGTGCAGTTAAACTGTGACAAACTGTTCATCAGTTGATCAACAATTTAAGGTCCTAGCCTTATAAAGTCAAAGTCTGAGCAAAGTACACAGAAATTAACCTAAAATAGTTGCGTCAAGGTATTTGGCTTTAGACCTTGAGATGAAATTGTCTGGCCAATGAAATGTAGGCTGGTCTGGTTGAAATGACACTTTTCATCATTATGTTTCAGTCCTGCTTTCTTAGTGTGGCAGCGTTTAGGTAATTCCATCTCTATGGAATGATACAGCCTACAAAGTCTTTTTTTGGAACAGCACACATTTGCTTAAATGCTCAAAGGCTTTACGTCACAACATGGTCACATCCAGGGATTCTAGGCTCGCAGTGCTAACGCCACAGCTGAGCCAATCTAGATCTTTTTTAGGCTAACATCAGTGGCTTGAGTTTAACTCGGGCAGCTAACAGCAGCCAGTGGAGCTCTAAACAGAGGGGTGACGTGAAAGCTTTTAGGCTGATTGAAGATAAGATACGCTGCCATGTTCTAAACTATCTGCAGAGGTTTAGAAGGGTGTTACAGTAGTCAAGGCAGGATATAACCACAGACTGCATCAGAGGTACTTTAAGTTTAGCCATGTGAACTGGTGCGAACAAGCAAGAGGGGCAAAGTTATCTTTAAAGGTCATCTGGTCATTGATAAGCTTGGTTGGTTTGGTTGGGAAGACAAGCAGCAGGTTTAGTTGGAGATGTTGGGCTTTGATCAATGCTGATGCACCATAAAGACAGGCAACGGATACTGCTAAGAGCTGGATGTTATCCATCTAATTGTATTGTTGCAGTTGGGGTGGTCGGATGATCTGGTCCAGAGAGGGTGACGTATGAGAAGAGGTCTTAGTACTTAGACTTGGGGAACTCCTGTTTTAATGTGGTGACCTGTAGAACTGTCACGAAGCCAGGATACCTTGAAGTACCAACCAGTAAGGTACGAGTATGGACCAAAAGATACAATAGGATAAGTACTGAGGACTTGGCTTGTCAGTCTGGCTTCTTCTTTGACTTCTGTCATATTCAACAGAGCCATTCGAGTGCAACGGCTACTTTTGAACCAAAATTGGTTTGAGTCAAGTACATTGTTTTGTGAGAGAAAGACCGCCATTTCAATGGTTTTAGACAGAAACAGGAGAGAGGTCCGTCGATGGTTTCCAAGGTGAGTGCCAACATCTGTAAAAATGGAAGCAAGCAATAAAAAAAAGAAAAAAAAAAAAAATAAATATATATATATATATATATATATATATATATATAAAAGTTTGAGTTTACTATTTCATAGTAAACTCAAACTCGTATGCAGTAAAGGCATATGACGCCTTGACTGCTCTGGTAACAAACTGGGTCGCTGTGCTAATTCACCCTCACCAAATCCAACCACTGTCACGCACACTCAAGACCATACAAGACCCAGAGAGCCGAGCATGGCACGAGATGGTGAGAGGAAGGCGGTTCAGAGTGAGGGTTTGTAAATGCATGTGCGTGTGAGCAGTAAGGGTGAAAGCAGAAAAAAAAAAAAAACTTACATCACACACGGATGTGCGTGGATGCAGAGTATGTGTGTGTATATAAGCGTGCTTAAGTGCTTTTCCCTTGACAAAGGTGCAGGGCTTTGGCTGGGAGCCTGACATCACGTGTGTGTGTGTGTGTGTGTGTGTGTGTGTGTGTGTAGGAGAGAGCACAGGGTTGCGTGACATGCACAAAAGTGTCACAGGGAAAGAAGCAATGAAAGACGAAGGGAAAAAGAGAGGAGAGACGTTAGTGGGGAGGTTGACTGAACCACTGGTCCACTTTAGTTTTCATCAAAACACTGAGTTGGTGTGGGTGTGCAGAGATGTGTGCAGGTGGTTACTGTATGTGTGTGTTGTGTGCCTTTGGACTTAAGTGCCCCATACAGTGAGAGCGATTGAGGACACACTGATATAAGGCACACACACTTAGTCTGGTCACAACACCTCAGCTCAGTTGGCTCACTCAAGCTTGAAACACAGGCACACACACGCGGACACACACACACCTAAAAATAAGAGGGAGGGATACCAAGGAGGGGCTGCTGGGTGGATTTGTACTCGCTC